TTTTCAGTGCATGTTGAGTGATGAGCAGGAATAGGTCAAAAGCTTGACAAGTTGTCATTGTATTTGATATCACAGGGATGGAGATGGGGAGAGAAAGGGTGTAACAGTAGGTTAAATTAAAGGCCAAAGAGGCTGCTATCTATAGAGAACGAAAGATTTCTACAGTCTTCATTGCGGATTCGTGATGAATTTTTCTCTATCACAGAAAGAAATTGTTGAAGCTCTTCCTTGATGAGCTTACTGTGAACGACATAAATATTTCTATACTATCTAAGTTTTTTCTTTTGTGTGTATGTTTCTGTGTGTTTTATTATAGGTTTGAGGTAAATGGATATAGGAAAGTTGGCAGCATTGTGAAATGGGGTGTTGGAGAAATCGCAGCAGAGATCTCTTTGAAGTTCGAGTCTATGGTGATTTAATTAGGTCTTGTTACAATTGCGGTTAAATGCAGTGAAGAAACGGGGGGTTTGAGTTTGAGGTTTGCGGAGGACGCGTATAATTTAGAATAAGGTAGGGGGTTGTTCGAATAGCATAAGTCGAAGGCTTTTTGCAGGTTATCGTGTATAATCTTCTCTCTTGGTTCTCTTGGTCTCTCTCCATTTGACATTGTTGTACCCCAAAATTTTCCCTCTCATTTCATCAACATTTTCTCATCACAAGACTCTTGGAGTTCAAGGTCAAACTAGGGTTTGCTCTGCTCAAGACCCCTCCTTGCACTGTTGACCCAAATTAGGGTTTGGATTTGCACAATGATGTTTTGGCCTACAATACCCAAATTCACTTTCATGCTTCATGTTTGGATCACAAGTTTGCCCATACCAAGTTTCAAGCCTTGATTCAAATTTTTGCCCAGTCAATTGGACAGTTGACCTAGAAATCAGCTGTATTGGGGAAAAGTCAACTGTGGCCAAATTGACAGTCAAACCTCATGAAATTTGACCCACATCAACATAATGAACTCATATGAACCATCTGGTCAAGTTTGGATCACAATTCCACAAGAAAATTGATCAGATCACCAAAAGGGCAAAATGGTCATTTTTAGGGTTTTTGACTGCACAAAGGCAATTTTTGACTGTTTGACCTAACCAATGGCAAACCAAGCTCACATATGGACTCAAGGACTCAATGGCATTTTCTTGACCCATTCAACAAGTTCAAAAGATCTCAAATGCACATGATTGACAGATGAATTTTTCAATCAACTGATCAAAATTTGACTGTATACTGAAAAGTCAAACTTTGACTTTTTGGTCAAAATCAAGTGCCAAGATTCATTTTTCATCAAGACATGTCAAATTATGAAACTTGTTCACCAAGAAACCCAAAATTGCAAATTAGGGTTTAAAATGAAAATTTTTCATAACTTAGAATTTTTCTAAGTTATGAAATTTCCTTATTTTTTCCTAACTTTGTCCCATTTTTTCACCAAGATGCAAATAGATTCAAACAAAACTTGAAACATGAAAGTTGTAGTCCATCACAAAATCTACAACTTTGATTCACAAAGTTTTCTCAAAGGAAGCTTGTATCTCAAGTTATGATTTTTGGAACAAGGGTGCATAAAACTTTTAACTTAGAGAAAATTTTCCCTATTCTAGGCAGGATTTTTGTCCAACTTCTTGGCCATTTTTCACATGGTTCCACTTGGAGTTTCAATTTTCATTACAAAGATGGATTGTAGTACATGTTCTAAGCTTTCCAAATTGTCAAAGAACTTCTCAAACACCCTTGTGGTTAGAGAGAATCGAATTCACAAAGTTGGCCAAAACTCACTTTTGTTCATGACCAATACATGTTCATAGCAAATGGAATTTTCAAATCAGCTTGATTTATGCTAGCTTGCAGGCCTCTAAACCCCTTCAAACTCAATAATTTAATGCCTAACCATTGTGTTAAGGTGTTATTTCATCCATTTGGGTATTACATGCTAAACTAACCCTTAATTAGAAAAAGCAAAGTTTCCATTTTGGTAAAGTTACACTTTATGTCAAGTTCCAAATCTTTGAGCATAAGGGGCCATATCTATGAAGCCAAATCAAATCTACAAATTGCAAGTCTCAAGGGCAAGATAGGCAGCATACATTAGGGATGGTACAAGCCTGCATTGTAACTTACACTTTCTTGCTTATAGTAGAAGAAACATTGCAAAAAGACACCAACTCTCATTTCCTGTGAACACAAGCCAAAACTAACTTTGTGAGCATCATCCATAGATCAAAACAGACCTAAGGCACGACCCTTCCATCCCTCATACCTCCTAATACACCAAATCACCATCTTGCTGCAAAAACAGGGCACCTCCTGCAGATTGAAGTCCACAACTAAGTTTGCTCGTGCACTTTTGCTAAAACCCTTTCAAACACATTCCACACCATCCACCTAAACTATTCCAAGCCCTAAACACCAGTTGTAACACCTATAACCTCATTTTCCATTTTCACTTTCAAGCTTTGCAGGTGAACTTCTATAGCACGATACAGGGTGTCTCAAAGCAAGCCAGGTGTTGGAAAAGCTTCCTTGGACCTCAGGCAAGCTCTACAGAAGCTCAAACTCCATTGAAGGTTGCTATATTGCTCTACACGATTCAAGCTGAAACAGGTAATCCATGGACCTCTATCTCTCTATCTAGGAAGAGTTAGGCTTAGGTTTGTGAATGAAACATGTCCTACTCATAGCCCTGAAGCCATACATGTGATCATTTTTCATTTATGTTAAGCGTGCTCTGAGAATTTTAGCCATGAACATGTGAAAGAAGTTAGGTTAAAAATTAGGGCCACAGAAATTCTCTATGGCCTTTGAGAGTTAATCCAAGTTTTTTACATGTTTGAATTTGTGATTTGATGCTCTACAATGTTTATGTTATGAGTTTTGCAAAAAAAATCAAAGAATCAGGAGTTGATGTTTGAACAAGGAGGCGCGCGAAATTTCAAACAGTATGCTGGAGGTTGAAGAAGGTGATGGCTTGGGCTGGGCCTGAGTCATCCATACTCTTTGCACCCCTTTTTCGAGTTTGCACCCCCCTGGCCCAAATAATTAAATATTTGTCATTTTTGTGTTTTGGTTTTTTTATTCTGACTTTTTATTTTTTGCTCAAACATAAAAAATGCTAAAAATATTTTTCCATATTTTTTTCATATTTATTTGGTAATTATTTTATTTTATTAGCATATGTATGTAAATAATACAAATCCTTTTTTTATTGAAACCCTAAAAAATAATATAAAAAATATATTTATTTTTTCAGTTATTATTTTTATTTACATCTTGAAAATATACATTTTTTTATATACATAAATAATTAATTTTATCTTTTATATTTAATAGGTTTAGTAAATATATATATATATATATATATATATATATATATATATATATATATATATATATATATATATATATATATATATATATATATATATATATATATATAATATATATATATATATATATATATATATATATATATATATAATATATATATATATATATATATATTATATATATAATATATATATATATATATATATATATATATATATATATATATATATATATATAATATATATATATATATATATATATATATATATATATATATATATATATATATATATATATATATATATATATATATATTATATATATATATATATATATATATATATATATATATATATATATATATAATATATATATATAATATACTTGTATATTTTATTTTATTAGATACTTAGGAAAAAAATATGGAAATAATACATTTTTATTTTTATTAATATTTGACACCAAAAATATCTCTTTTACAATATACTTCTAATTTCTGTATAAATTAATATATATTGTATATAATTAATAAATATTACTCTTTACTTAAAAAAATAGGGTTTTTGCCCTAAATGACAAAAAATAATTAAATTTGAATTTTTTTATTTTTGTTTATATTTCACATTAAAAAATACCCTTTTTCACATACATAAAAAACCCTTTTGTGCATGATACCTTTTATTTGACATTTGTTTATTATATCATATTCAATTGGTTGTATATTCATATCTTATTTTGTATATTCGATATGGTTGTAATAACTTAGTTTTTATTTCCTTGTCAAATATCCCCAATGCAAATTTGTACCCCCCCTCCCTATATCATGTTGTAATAGCTTAGTATTTAAATTTTCGCACTTAAAAGCTTTCAATTATGCCATGCTTAGAGAATTAGGGTTTGTATGCTAAAATCAAATCAACAAGTAGCTTGAACTAAATCCAAGATAAACATGCATGAAAAAACAAACACAATTGCACACTTGCCACCCCTAGGGTTATACCACTTGTTGCCTTCAAAAATGGGCCATGGTTGCATGTTGAGTGTCTTTGGCAAAACAAAAAAACAAACAAAATGATCATAGTCCCCTCGATGACGCTCTCATGGTTGCCTAGAAAATGATCAAGTCCCTTAAAGAAAATTTCCAAAGATACTTGACACTATTGCTTTCATGGTCTATACGATGACCCACGCCCGTCCCGTTAACATCCTAACGTAAGGTTGTTCACCAAATACAATGGTGAAACAACGCTGTTAAAAGGGTTAAAAACATAAGAAAGATCTTTGAGTAAATTAGGGTAGATAACTCTTAGTTACTTGATCAAACTTGCAAAACATCCTTGACGTTTTTCAAAATACACCTCACAACACAACTTCAAAACAAACTTTCAAAAACATTGAAACATCTTTTCAAAAAGACAAACACCTTTGTAAAACATTCAAACAAGAATTGTTACAAAGATTGCCTAGACAAGGCATCTTTTTCAAAACATTTTCAAAACCA